ATGAATAATGAAGATATATTATTTTTACCTTTGATTTTTGAAGTTGTAGTTGCAATGACAGGATTTGGAATTCGATCACTAATATTTTTTAAGCACATCACACCGCTAACATCAGCTAAACATAAATATAATAATATTGGTTAATATAAATACTATAAATATAATTATATTATTTGTTTACCTAATGTTTCTGAATCAAATATAATAGGAATATTCTTTGTATTCTTTAGAGGAGACTCATAAGATTCAATAACATTTAAACCTGTAAATATTAAGAAATAGATAAAATAAAACCCCTTATTTAAAAAAACTTTATGCACAGATTTGTTGTTTAATTTTATATTTTAACCTAAATTAAATTTAGTAGATACAAATAAATATACCTGTAAAGCATGATGGATATGAGTTAGGCTCTTGCACGATCATTGCATCTACATCATTGTTACTGTTAGGTGGATAGGGTTTAAAACGTTCATTCTAATTTATACCTATGTGTCATGTAAAATAAACAATACAGTTGAATAATTATCACAACAGTCATAACACAGTGGTTAAGACAATTGTTAGGTTGTTAACAACACAACGACACAAAGATAGTAGGTACATACAAACATTGATTAAAATATCCCAGTGAGGTTGACACTTTGACTAGAAGTCCTTAATGATTACAACAAGTATTAGTAGACAATATTATTTTCCTAGGATGTTAATATACAATTATTTACATTTTGTTAAAATATTATTTTGAAATACAATAGCTGGGTACATAAAATAACCAAACATAAATTATCATAAAGAACATACCTACCTGAATTAGATGTATAGGTAACTATTATAAAAATTATAGTTTTTTGTTAGTAAAATAATCCAAATGTAGCTAAATAACAAAACACAAACGTGCACACACATTAAATATACGTTATGTATTACAAACCAATCGGCAACTTCAATGTTGGTAAAGCATTGCGATTCAACTTTTTAGTTCCTATGCTCTTACAGCTGTCATCAAAATGTTTTTCACAAACAAAATATGATTTGTAAATAACTGGCATACTCAAATTATTAAATTTTTGATTTCCTGTGCGTTGAACCCAAGTATAAAAAAGAGATTCATCTCGAGGAAATAAATGCTGAATAGTTTTTTTGTCTTTGTATGTTGTGTCACAAAATTTAACAATACAGTTTTTGGACGGCATCTGATGTTAAACATGAAATAAACCGTTACATAGGAAATAATTTATAAAGAATCAAATGTAGGTACTAACTTTTGTTATTTAAACACAGAAAAATAATAGGATGACTAAAACTCAAATGTCACAGGCGTTGGTACGTTAATTGTGATCACGAATTAAAATAACATACTAATTTTTAATTCGTAATCGTGACCACCGGGCCATCGAAAATTAATAGAACAATTTAATGTTGCAACTTGCCAATTTTACTTATTACTCATTTCATTTCAACAGTTGGCATTCTGATTTCGTAATTCATATTATCAGAGTAACGCAGCAATTCTTTATAGAGCTACACCCCCCTGGTTACTACCAACACTGAATATATTATGTGAACGACTCACTGTAATTAGAAATAAATGTATTAGATTTCACGGATGACACTGTTTTGTACTTTGAGGGTCAAAATTGGAGTGAAGTAGAAACGAAAGCGAATCTAGGGCCATCAATAGTTAATAAATGAAAGATAAATAATAAATAGATTATACTTAAACAATAATAAAACTACGTTTACTCCATTTTTCTTAAGTAACATAAATTCACCTAAATTAGTATTTATAAAATATCATGCAATGAAGATAAACTTAACATAAAAAGAAAAAACCAATATAAAATATAAAGTTCTAATTAATTTATAATACAAGCATAAAACACTATATTAATATAATATTATACAGTCATGTAGATTAAAACAAGTTAAAAACATTAAGATAGATATGCTCTTATAGCCGTGTTATTTTATAATAACTAACATATATTTTTATAAAAATTATAATTTTGGAAACTACTCAAATTATTACTTAGTAGATTTTAATGGTACAGAGATTAAAAGCAATATTATATGAGTCTTTTTTTTTATTAAATTCACTTTTATACTTATGAAGTCTAAAAAAATTGTTTTCTTTTGTTTTGTTTAGTACTGCCTATTGCCGTATAGGTATTGTAGACAGTCGTCAAGATATTATTATTTAATATATATGTAATAGAGGTGGGAACATTTTAAATTGTAAACTATTGACATAGGTCAGTGAAGCAATATGTGCTGAGGCAGCAATTCTAAAAGAAAAATCCTGAGTATTATTAATAAGATATAATTGTTAACTTTTAATAGTGGTTCAATTGTTAACTTGAAAATAATTTTGTATGCTTAATTATATAATGTATGCAGGTAACGAAAAATCTTGTTCATCCAAGAGTCGTATTGTTAATGGGGTGGTTTATTTTATTTTTGTCGAGTATTATAATATTTGTAATAATTCGATAAGATTCATAGTGAATACAAGGAACAATATTGTTTCGACAATTATAAATACTTGTAAATATGATTACACTATTATTAGTTTTTAATAGTGATGCCGTAGATTACAATTTTATTTATATGATAAATATATTATTATTATTAATATGTATATTGTTAATTATACACAGTATAATTCAATTTTCAATATAAATAAAGGTATTTTTAAAATATCTGATGGGTTTTCCCCTCTTAACAATGATAACGTTTAGGTTAACAATATTCATTATTAAATAAGGCAGTAATAATAACCGACCGATTGTGACGTATCCGTGTAATGTGTTTCGTGTGACGCTTTGTCTGTTGTCACTGTGACTGTGAAGTGTGAATACCTATTATTTGGAAAGACGAGAACGAGAACGTACAATATTAATTAGTTTAATTTAAAAGTTTTCTAAGTTTTCTAAATAATATACTGCAGCCGCCAGCCACAGGTAAGTAAAATGATTTGTTATATTTGTAAATTATACGTAACAGATTTTCAATCTTTGGTAGTTCATTTTAAAATTATGCACATGTTAAAATCAAACAGTACATATCAATGCTGCGAAGACATGTGTTCCCAGTCTTTTCAATCCATTATCCAATACCTACTCAGATCCTCCAAGACATTTTTGGTGCTTACGATTTGAAGCTAAACATAGAGAAATGAAAATATATGCTCGCACTACTTCTTCTAGAAAAAACATTACTTTCAATTTGGCAAAAAAATCCCAACTGAAATTCTCTAATTTTCTAATAAAACAAAGAGTTAGTAATCTTTCAGTCAAAGATAAACACATAATACGTAGTTCTAATTTAAATTATATAATATATAATGATGTGAAATACTTTCCATAAAAGTAACACAATTTACTTGTTATGATGAAATTGAATATAATGGAACTAAATATAAAGGATACTATTTAACACAGTTTTTAAATGAAATGTGTTTATTTGAAATTTCTGAACTGATAGTTAATAAATCAAGTGAAACAATCAATATACTAGTTAAACAAATTAAACTTTTACATTTCAATTCACACTTTGAAGCATTTGAGGTTGATGATAATTTAACAATAACTAATAATAATAATATGATTTATAATATAAGTGAATTCAGTGGTCCACCAATTAATATTACAAAAATATCATCTGGAAAGTTAATGATTGGATTAAAAGAATTTTTTTAATCAAATATTTTGTACATTAATTACTTAATAGAAAAAATTATATTCTTAATTTTAAGATTTATGTTCATGCTTTATAATATTCAAAATTAACATAGTTTTTACTTAATAGCAGTTTCCATTGATTTATGTAGGTACCTACCTACAAATTGTATAACATTTAAAATTAACTATAATTTACATTCATTTTCAGATAATACTAGTTATACTTAGTACTAGGTACAGTAGAATATTCGTATAATATTATAATACATGTAAAAAAAATAAAACAAATATGGACCCCTGTGTATCAAATTTAGAAGCTATCACAAATACTTCTTTATTTGATGTTGATAGTTATCCGTTAAATGCTTGTGTTAACAAAGAAAATAATTTTAATAGCAGCTCAAGTAATTATAATAATGTCAGTACCTAGCTAATATTTTTTTAAAAATGTAGTAAAAATATTCAATAATAATTATAATATATTTTTATGTTTAAATAGGATTTACAATATTTACACCCATTATCATACACTGAAAATTTAAATGTAGATACGATATACGAATAATGACTTAAATCAACAGTATTTAAATAATAATGATCAGGCTTTAAAAAAATTATTAAAAGAGTGGAAATTAGAAGTATTGTATCAAACATGTATAGGTAATATGAATTTATTAAAAAATATTATTCCTATAATTAATTAATGACACTATTTATTACATTAATATTATATCTGTTATATTTCTATTCACATATTTAGATCAATTAGTTGATATTAAAGTTTTACAAATAATGAAATTTGAACATGCCAATGAATTGCTTTCATCATTTCCTATTGGAACAAAAGTAATATTTACACATAAATTAGAGGAATGGCAAAAAAATAACCAGTTGCCTAAGAACGAAAATTCAGTTGTTAACTCAAATATATTAAAAAACAATGATTTTACTAACATACAAACAAATTACTTAATGTTACAGAAACAGTTGATTAATTTAGATTTATCAGAAATTTTAAATTCTTCTACACAAGGAATGATGATTATAAACTACTTTAAATCAAACAAGAAGTTAAATGATTCGATCCGTACAATGCTAGTTGAATTAATTATTAATCATTTAATAACAAAGAAATTATCAATGTCTGTGAATCTTGCAGAAAATATTGCTACTAGGGTCAAGGTAAATTAAATTTTAAAACTAAAATATATTATAAATATTTATAAATACTTGTCATATTTGTAGGATACATATTTTATGAGAGGTGGATGAAATAAAAATCCAAAAGGAAAGATATATGCCAAATTGTATAACTCCATGAGGTTACTTAAAACTAGTGGTTTAGTTATCGACAATAAAGTAACTGCAGTAGACACAAATACTCATAGACAATTTGGTATTTTTATAATCAAAATAAAATGATAAATATAGATTTATATAATTTTAATTTATATGTATACCTACTTACAGAGCCCGAATGTGATATCCAACATACTTTGGATCAAATATTTTATGACTCTGATATAACATTTCCTGAGTTACTAACTTTATGGAGGGCTACAACAAAGTTCAGAGTAGATTATATTCAAAAAGCTTCTTCAACTGATGAAATAACCAAAAAATGAAAGAACTATTTAGTGCCACTTGGATATAAATTAGTAAGTTGTATAAAAAACTGACAACAAAGGTATTTTAGGTAATATTGAGTTAAATGCTTGATTGCATTTAGTATTGAAATAATTTAAGTGTAATTTTTACAATTTTCTTCAATGCAAATAACTTAGGTATTTATTAATTTAACCCTTTCAGTCCCCAACGCCATTAGAATGGCATAATGATATAAAAGTCGTTATAAAATTGAATTTAAATTATTTCGTTGTGTAATACATGAATATATATGTAAAAACATGTGTAGAATACATTAAAAATGATAACAATACAATTCGGACCTTATATAAAACGATAATGACAATTTATTGATAACAAAAATGTTTACTGTAATATTTGATTAATTTTTTCACATTTCATTGTATTATCAAAAGAAAAACAAGTTCTAAAAATCCCATATTTTTTTTCTTGTGTACACACTGATATTGTAATCATATTATGAAGTGATATAGTTATTAACTTTAATCGTTATCATTTTATCGTACCTTAAATATTGTGCCATTATAATGGCAATTGGGCGTAATGTCGAAATTCTTATCAATTAATATTTACATTTTACACCACTGATAAACGGTTAAAACGATTATAGTTTTATTTTCTGTCAGTGCGACAAAAAAAAAAAAAAATACCTTAGATCTTTTGTCATTCAAACATATTTTAGCTGAATCACTTATAAAATTAGGTAATTCAGTATTGACTCCGACAAGGAAACGTGGACGTCCTTCATCATCCCCAAAACCTGATGTTCCCAAGCCCCCAAAAAAGCATCGTAAAGTAGATTCAAAAAATCCCCCATTACAAATTATAAAAGATAGAATTGATCACTTTGCTTTTATCGATAATTTAAGAGATGGAACATTATGTAAACATATAGGGTGTACAATGAGAACACATATTATGTGTAAAAAATGTAATGTTCATTTATGTTTGACCAAAGATAGGAATTGTTTTTATGATTTCCACACTTAGCTATCAACTAAATCTAGTAGTTAACCAAAATAATATTTTATTATTTGTTCAGTTTTATATTATAGAGAAGGTTCCTCTTACTATATATTGTTTTCATTGGTTATATTTATTTAAAAAATGTTTGTGTTATTCTATACTTAAAAATTTAATTTTGTTTATTATAAATAGCTAAGGTGCTAACAAAGTATTTTATTATATAAGACTATGTAATTGAAAAGACTTATTATTAATCCAAAAATCTCAAATTATGCTTGTGATATTATGATAACTAAAGTTGTATTTATATTTGTTACAATATTATTATTTTTTTTTTTTACAATTAGTTATATAAGTTATGTTATTAAAATATTATGTAACTTACAAGACTTATTCAAAGAATCTTATAGTGTGTAAGTGGTAAAAAAAGTTTTTATTTTACTTTCTATATTGTCTATTTTATTTTAACAGTAAGGCAAAAGATTTATAAAAAAATAAAGAATTGAACAGACTTTATTTATAATGTTTAGTATTTCATTAATTAACGCCCAATTGCCATCCTGATAGCATAACCTATTATGACCGTTAATGCCCAATTGCAATTACAATGGCATTATTCAATAACTCATGACTTGGTGATCAAAAAATTTTGAAATCAAAAATATTTCTTAGTTAGGCATAATATAAAACTAATTAGAAAGCAAACATTTTTTTTTTTTATCAGAACTTAATTTGGGACTGAAAGGGTTAAGTATTGGTTATTTCATTTAAAAGTTTAAAACATAAAACATTTATAATGAAACATTAATGTAATTCTTTTTTAAGTATTATTACTATTCAATTGTCATTAATAATGTGTAGGAAACATTAATATACACAGATTTAATTTAGAGGACCAAAAATTGGGCCCCCCAAAATAAAATTAATCGGCATTCTCCTCTTAAACATAAAAAAAAGTAAAGTAATAAACTTCAATTTATGTTTTACAGTTGATAATTTGTACTTACTTTGTTTGTAACTTTTTATAAAAACATTAATATTTATAGTATATTACCTTAAGTTCAAGTCTATGTTTTTTTCAGCATAAGGGTTTTTTAATTTAAATTATTTATAACATGATTAATATATATTTCCGAGACCATTTTTTCAATTTATTAATATTGAGTTACCTACATTTAATTTTCACCTAACCTTCTTGAAGTCACTGGGTATGCAATATTGAAATAGCATACCCTGCATCACACCTATGGTAGGAAATTAACTTAATATGTTGTATGTTTTCAGATTGAAATTGATTTCAATACATTGTACCCAAATTGTAATTTAGTTTCATCATTTGATGAAAAATTCAATAAATAATTAAAACTATTTGAAGTAAAAATTAAAGATCCATCAAGTAGATCATTGTTTGAGCAGCTAAAGAACACACCTGATACAAGTGAAAGTAAGAATTTTAAAAACTACTTAAAAGCTTTTATGTTAGTCAATATTAAATTTCTGGTCTACTTTTGATGGGTTGCATGAACATTTACTTCTGTAAAATTGATAAATAAAAAATAAATAAATGCATAAAATTTGATATTCTTTATTATTTTATTAATTATATTCTTTTATTATGTGCAGATGGAAAACATGCAATTATATTTTGTTTACTTCATGCAGTATTTGTTCCGACTAGTAAAAAAGTGACAAGAGACGAATCTGGGAAAAAGAACCAAATTAAGTACTCCGTTAAAGATTCCATTAATAGTTTCATGATTTTTAAAAATACAGTAGCTGAAGTTGAGGACTATACATTAATGCTTAGAAATGGAAATCAACCAATACAACCTTTTCTCATTATAATTGGTACACCAATTAACCCTCAAGAAATACTTATATTTTTTGATTGTATAAAGTACAAACTGTTCTCCTTAAAAACGGCTGTTGATACTTGTTTTAAAATATTTCATTTATTCAATTTGAAATATCCGGTACAATCATCTAACGTTTGGCTTTTTATTCAAAAATTTTTTTATTCACTAACTACTAAATATGACAAACCATACCATAATTTAGGACAAATTTTAAGTGACTTAAACACAATTTAATTAAATTGATTATTTTAAACATTTTATTATAATATTATTACCTGATTATATTACTTATTATATTAAATAAAAATGAATACATTTGTATATTATATTATTAGATTATTACATTTATATATTTCTTTGGTACCTATATCAAAGTATATTCATTATTTATGTATTAAATTTTAAATTTTAAGCATTTTATCATATTATTAGCTGATTATAATATCTCTTATTATATTCAATAGTTTTGTGTAATAATAAATATATTTTCTGGTCCTAAATCAAAATGAGTGTGTTTAATTATTTATTTTATTAACTTACCAAAGTTATAAGTTATATCCATTATTGTACTTATTAGTTTCAAATTAATACTTAGGTACTGATTATTATTTACCAGATATTGTATAATAATATCTGGTAATATATTGAAAATTCAATAAAACCAAATTTAAACTATTTAATTTTATATTATTATTCTGCCTTTTAGCATACCTATATGGCTATATAATATGTATAATATATAACTTATATGAATGTTTTATTCTATGAGGATATTATTTATTTATATATACTTATTATATACTATTAGGAAACGATTTCAATATTAAATACAACATAATAATCAATTTTAAAAATAAAAACAAAAATCGAAAACAATTCTATAAAAATGGACGAAATATGGTACGAACACAATAGAAGTCATAAAATAAATATTTTAATCGAAAGATTAACACAGAGAACAAAAATTAAAAAACTACACAAAGCAATAAAAAAGGCGAAAGGAAACATAAAAAAAATTGAAAACAGGGAACAACCCGAGAACAAACACCAACAACGAAGACATAAGAAAGTTACCGAAAACATTGATAAAAATCCAGGAGGGCTTCGAGAATCTTATACATTTTATCAAGTCCATTGAATAATTTTTCTAAATATTATTTTAAACAAAAATTAATGTAATTGTAAAAATTAAAATTTATCAAAACAATATAATAATAAACCCCCTTTTAGGAAAATATAAATATAATTACCTATATATATGTATGAATTAATATTACAATTACATTTAAGGGAAAATAATAAAATATTAAAACATGTAAAAAAAAAAAAAGGTATAAATAAAAACAAAAGAATAGAATGTATTTTCAGCATAATCAAAAATTCACGAGTCAACAGACAACAAGCCGCAACAATCTTAGAGACAAAGGGCGAATATAATATTTTCAAAGTAGACAATAAGCATTAAACCAATAATTATAAAAACAATAAACAAATCATTTTTCATACGAAGATACGAAGAAGAAACTGTAGTTCAAACAGAAATTTTAAACGTAGAAAGAAAAATGAGAATAAAAAAAAATATATACAAATCAAATTCAAAAAAAAAAAACTAAAACAAGCAAGATAATAAATACTTACCTTATGAAATACAAAAAGAGAAGAAGAAATGACTACCACAGAATCGAAGAATAAAATCCCATAGAAGAACAACGAACATTTACTGCTATTTGTCGAAATAAAAATATTATACTTCAAACTGTGAATAATCTCTAAGAAAACATTTTTCCACAAAAGAACCAATCAATAAATTTTTATAACGTTATAATATGTAGGTATTCATATTTTTTTTTCCAAACACGTATTAAATAATTAATTATTAAAATAGTAGGATTAAATTAACATTTAAGCATAATTTTATAGTCAACGACGCGAATAAGCTGAGACAGTAATTTAGTGTTAAAGTAAGTTAGTATTTAATGTAGTAATAAGGGCATTTTTTTCAAAAAACAATGGGGACTGTCGTATATTTTAGACAGTCGTCAAGTTATTATTATTTAATATATATGTAATAGAGGTGGGAACATTTTAAATTGTAAACTACCTATTGACATAGGTCAGTGGAGCAATATGTGCTGAGGCAGCAATAAGATTTTACTATATAAAACCGCCGTACGCGCAGGCACGAGAGTCCCGTTGTCGCTGAGTGATTCGGCGAGGACGTAGGTACGACGGTTGTACGTGTGAAACGTCGATCGTAGTACGGGCTAGGCAATCTGAATTTGCTAAGCGTGTTTCATTTATGTTTGTTTTAATATAATAAAAATGTTTCCGACCTAAAAACCCGAGTTGAGTATTATTTCAAAGTCTTCTTCGTTCTTACCTTTAATATTGGAACAGTGCTCAGACCCACACACCTATAGTCAATGAGGTTTATTACAAACTGAACAGTGCTCTGGTTGTGGCGACCTAATAGTCATTCCAATTTAGGAAACGGACGAAGAACTGACAAAACGCATACCATCGTACCTCAAAGGTTAACAGTGCTAATCTGAATTTATTCTAGAGACAGTCATTAGCCTAGAGCGTACGAGGGTAAGGTATAAAGTTGGTTTACCGTGTATTATCCGATACGGGTGATACCACACTATTATTATTAAGAGGATGTCATTTTTTTCTCTCAGAACCACAATCACAGTACGCAGGATTTTTCAATGGAGGGGGCTTGAAAATTAGTTACAATTATGTCCAGTCTAATAATTTCAGACGTTTATTTGAGGTATTTTTAAATGTTTGTAACTTCTCAAATTTTCTGGTAGAAAAAATGCTCTGATCATAAATTTCGATGCCCGATGTATGTTTTTGGAAGAAAATTGGACCTAATTGGTACTCTTAAGAGGTGAAAATTTAATGTGCTCAGTGCTTTTTAAATAGTTGGAGAAAACAAAATGAAAATTTATTAAAATTGTTTGGTAACCAGCTTGGTTATATCCTCACTTGGATTGTATTTGATTAATTAAAATTTTTTTTTCTATAAATGTCAATAAAAAAATATTTATCCGGTCAAAAAGCTTAAAAATGTAATACTGAAGTTTTTATTATAGCTAAAATATTAACGTTACATAGGCATCATGGTATTTTTTATAAACATTTCAAGTTCAAATTTTGTCAAAACCACAGTTAATTTGTAGTTCAAAACTTATAAAATATTAAATTTGTATTAGCTAAGACGACTAGAAAATTTAATATAAGGCCTTTTACACAAGTAGTTCATACTTTTACCGAAATATTACAGATAATTTTAGGAAAATTGGTATGCAGATAGCAGATACAATGTTTTTTTCAAAAATAAATTCATTCTGATAAGACGTATATGAAATTTACGTCTTGCTTGACTATAAAGTAGACTACAGTAAAAACTTGGTGAATATTTTTTTTAATTAATAATAATACGGGCAATGGGGGGGGGGGGGCTACAGCCAGTTATCCCCCCACCCCCGTGGACACCACTGCACAATCACCATAGATAAAACGCTTACCTAAAATATTTATTAAGTAATCTTAGAGTACAATCACTTTTTCCAAAAATTATAGAGGATAATATTTTTGAGGGTATGATAATGTGGAAGTTTTATTTTTTTTTATTATTTAACTTTGTATTTGACTTTCAAAAAAAAAAAAAAAAACAATTGTTTTGAGACAATATTTAGAGAAATGGATATGCGATACCCTCAAAAATATTAATCCTCTATCGTTTTTATAATGTGTGATTTTACTTTAATATTATGTACTCAACAACATAGAAACATTCTGAGTAATATGTCCTAGTTGCACGTGGGCCAGAGAAAAAACAATCAGTGAGCTGATATTCTATTAAAACTAATATCGTTATGATTGAAATACTATAAATTACTTAAAATTTGTTTGGCATGGAGTTTTAGATTTAAGAAGTAGGTACATTTTAGAGGTACGCACATGAGCGCAACTAGGGGGGGGGGCTGGGATTCCCCCCCAAAAAAAAAATCTTAATAGCCCCCTCAAAATAAATTATTCACTTGTTTCCTAAAATATTACTAAATATTTAAGAATTAAACTGTATTTCTTATTTTTTTTTCTTAGGAAAAAATGCACCTAATCATAATTTGTATTTAAACTTTTTAATTATTTTATATTGCCTATGATAGATATGGTAAATATCATTAGCTGTATGCCTGTAAAGGAAACAATTTATGTTGGTATATTGGTAAGATTATTATACATAATTTTAATAAATATGCACTGAATTAAAGTATAGAGTATAGACTATAGAGACAGTGAATTGCGGAATAAAAATCCCTGGAAAAAATCTCCCAACCAACAATCCTCGAAAAAAATCCACGACCCTATGAAAAATAAGTAGATAGTAGTATATAGAAGTATGATAAATAAATAGTATACTATTATAGTGAAAAATGAAATTTGAGTAAATAAATATATTTTTTTTGTATTATTTTTATGTATTTTTAAGTGAATATCGCTAAGTAACTTTTCATGTAGTAACAGGGGGGACTACAGCGAACCAAACATTTTGGCCCTAGTTGCGCCACTGGGCACGTATCAAAAATAATATCGGCATTTGTACGAAACATTTTGTCAAAATTAATGCTAAGGAGTGTACTAAATGTGGTTTTAATCATTTTTATGTTCGTATAATAAGTACTTATTTCTTAACTACCTACATAAAGTACATAAATTAAATTGAGATACACATTGTATTTATTTATTGTTTGAACTAAATATAACTCCAAAATAATATAATGTACTACTAATTAAAATAATTAATATAGAACATATTTGTGTAGCATAATATTAGATTTATACAATAAGTACTTACTATTATAATTTTGATTAAAAATAATAATAACATTATATCGATGGCGTAGCGCACAAGTGTGATAAGTGACATTTTTTTGAAAAATGAGTTAAGTGCATAATCAATTTAATCATACAATTCTGCACATTATGCCCAAACGTTGTAAGTGAATAGTTCATTATTTACACCGATGGATGTCGTACAGTTCGTTACATTTTTGAATTTGTTATGACATCTCAAACATAAAAATCGTTCTCCTGAACAATTACGAAAATGTCACTTATCACACTTGTGCGCTACGCCATCGATATTGTGTCCAAAAAACATTTAGTTACCTCTCAGTGGAGGATCTAAAAAAAATGGCCATGTCAGACATTTAAAATTAGAGCCCGGGCTTCCACTTAATAATAATATCTTATTTAAAATGTTTTAAAACATAGTTGGGTGAGAGAAGTATTCTACCCTAGCCCCCCACCAAAAAAAATAAAAAATAAATTGTTGTAATAATACTTTAAACTCTAACTTATAAAAAAAATTGCTTCAATTACTTAAAAACATAATAAATATTGAATACAAATAAATAAAATACAATTAGTTATGCATTCAAATAATAAATACAAGTTTTATTTAAATTCTAATGAATTTAATTCTACATAAAATTACTATTAAGTCGAACTAAAAACTATTTTTCTTATATAGTTATACAATATCATCCATTAACCTTTTCTTGATTTTTTTTCTGAAAAAATTTTGTTTTTAGTTTGTGAATCTATCAACTCTGTTGTATTTTTTTCTATGTAATATCTTATTTTTGGATATTTAGACTTGAAAATTTAATATGATCTTACTTATATAATCGCCTACTAAATTTCCCCTACTAAATAAAGTAATTAATGCAACTTAATATAACTGGTAACAACCAATTTTTATTTTTAGTATAAGAGCTAACTAAACTGGAGCTATCTTCACATTTAAAATTAAATATTAAAGTTTCACGATTAAAGATATGATGGTTGTCCGGCGAGCTATGGAATTGGTGTCTTCATAATATTAATTCTCATAGTAAAACAATTCTGGAGTGCTCATAGACCGTAGTAGAATATTTATGTACTATATTATATCACTGTAGAAATTCACAATATTTATATGTTTGTGAATATGAAATTTAAAATCATTAGCAATTATATTATTTTCACTGATAGAGACGCAGTTAAGCAGCTGGCTCTACGAGCAATTTTAACTGCTATGTTATATCGCTTATGACATAGCCGTTGGGGCAACCATTGTAACTTTAATCGTTATTTTAATCAATAAAAATTATACTTACTCCAAGAAATTAAAAATGCATTAGTTAAAACTATAATCCAATATAGGCGTCTTAAACCATTCGATAGAATTGATGCTTTTGTAGAAAAAAAATAGAAAAATCAAAGAATGACAAAATACGCAATTTCACATATTCTGTTGCTTTGCTTTTCTTATAATATTTTAAACATCATTTGATTTAAATGTTTAACAATCGATAAAATAGTATTATTAGATAAAATAACCACTTGAATATCTGAATTTTTAATTTTTTTTAATTTAATTTGTACTAAATTTAAAAAGCCGTATCGTATTATATAATTTAATCATTAGTATCTTTTTATTTTATAATTTTGAAAAGTGGCAGATTTTCTTCTGTGTTAGTCTCCAAAGTGTTTGAAGTGGTATTCATACAAATGTTTGGTTTCGAACCATTGGAATTCTCTGCACTTGTTATCGGTAATACTGTTTTTACAAAGTCACCGAGATCTTCATCATCTGAGTTACCCAAATCAATTTCAAGAATAGTTTTTTCTAAAGAGGTGCAAGATGTACCCAAAATACCTTCACGACTATCACTGTTCAGTATACATGGTTTCCATTTACCATTCGCATCAAGTTCTATTTCCTCACAAGTTTTAGGTAAGTTTATACTATTGATAATAAACAAAAGGAACGAGTCTATTTTCAAATCAGCCAAGATACAGGACCTCATACATATAGGGCACATCCATATGGGGTCTATCTTATTCGAAGAAATGAAAGCTTCCAGGTCAAAACACTGTAAATGTTCACAATTGACAGATTTGACCGGTAGCTTCATTTTTGATTTATTTATTGGACATAAAAGAGTCATCTTGTAGGTCTCCAAATCTTTACCAGAATTTTTGAACAATTCCTTGGCTTTTTTTTTTGTTTCCAATGCTAAAAAAAATCGATCTTTGTCCGTTTTTATGTCTTCTACCAATTCTTCAACACTAATTATATCCACCAAGTTTACCACCATATAATAATTTCTATTACACGGTGGCCAAGAAATTGTGATCGTATTAGCATTAACAGTATTTAAGTGCAAATAATCAATAGCATTAACATTTAAAGGGCTTTTTATATCGATCGTTGGTATTAGTTTAGAATTGATAAATATAAATATTGGTTGTGGTAATTCTTCTGACAATTCGCTCATCTCTGATAGACTTTCTCCAATACGGATCTGCAATTGGCTAGCCTGTTTTTTAACTCTGTTTGGTGGGCAAATTTGTTGAACATCTGATAAAGACAAATAAAATTCCACACCAACACTATTGCGTACTATAAACAGAAAAGAAATGTATTAATGATATTTAAAATATTTACTATTAATTTTGTTTATAATAAGCAGTAGCGTATCCAGAATTTTTTTTGGGAAGGGTTATAATTATTTTTTGTCGAATTTCATCTCAAAATGATTTATTAAGAGGACGCTACACCCGCATGTGTTGTCTCCGTCTTACAAATGTACAACATAGCAAAAACTGTTTTGCGCGGGAAAGAACCGAGAAGGCTACAGTTATAACTAAGAAACAACATTTTCACCACACAAAAAGGAGAACTTTGGCTGTGCAACGTCGTTTTTATTTTTTTGATATCATTTATATGAAAAAAGTTTTTTAAGTTTGGATAACACAAACAATAATGGTTTTTGAAACAGTAAGAACTTTTTTCATATAAATGATATCAAAAAAATAAAAACGACGTTGCACAGCCAAAGTTCTCCTTTTTGTGTGGTGAAAATTTCGTTTCTTAGTTATGACTGTAGCCTTCTCGGTTCTTTCCCGCGCAAAAGAGTTTTTGCTATGTTGTACATTTGTAAGACGGAGACAACACATGCGGGTGTAGCGTCCTCTTAATGATAACGTTGTTATAATTTAACAATTTTTTTTAGGGGGGGAGGGGGTACAACTTTCTAACCACCCCTAGATACGCCACTGATAATAGATGTTTACCGTTATCTGGTCCCGCAACTAATATGATTGGTGTGAAATCAATACATATCGGTGGAACAACTTGATTTATAATACGCTGAAATGTTAGAGTTTTAAATTGTATGCTGGCTGGATCTGAAAGTACTGAGCCGTAAATATAGAATTCAAAATCTCCATTCATGGCGCACTTATGTCTTGGAGCTGGGCATCTATAGGGCTCCTCTGGGGGTTGATCCATTTTGGGATACTCTTTTAATCTAAAAATAACAAAAAGAGATATTGTTTCAATTAGGTTATAATTTATTTATTTGTATCACATTATAAAAACAATAAAAATGAAATCTATACATATCAAAGAAAGGATTTTCATATCAGACAACAACTTACTATACCTTACTAGTAGTATATATTATATACTATTCCTAGAGCACCCCCTCTACCACCAAAACTTCAGAAAATATCATAACAGAACAGTTAGTTTACAATAATTATTTAACCATACCAGTTTACTAACTATTTTTTATTAAACTGCAAAAGTTTATGTTAGTTATATAATATATTACAATTAAGTTAATTATCTTTTGGTAGTTCTAGTAAGACTACACAATCTCTAGAGACAAGGTACGTATACAATTTAATAATTCCAGTAAAAATTCTAGACTAAATTGTACACACAATTATATTGAAGGAAAAGGAGGTAGTACTGGTCCCCCAGAGCAAAAACAGATATTGAAGTATATAAATAAAACATACATATTTTCTATATTTTTGATTTAAATGCATAGTGAATTCTGTTGTTACACCAGTAAAATGCTTAAAAAATAACAAAAAATGTCAATATATCAAATCTCCTACTTCAGATTTTAATCAGTTTTCTCAATATGACAACTGAAACTATAGTATTAAAAAGTAATTTTTTTTTTTTTTAAGTAATTGATTTCACCTTAACCTTATAGTATTTTATTCTAATATACCCGAACAACAAATAAAAAAAGGTGCTCGGCTGTACAGTAGGTTACAAGCGGGTCACTGTATAATGGATGGTATTAAATTTGAATTCAATGATATAATATTATTGTACAAAAAAAACGATTCTGAGCGGAGACGGTATGTCAGTCTAGGTAAAAGACATATTATATACTTATCTTTATATTAACTTCTCTATGGTATTAAAAAAAAAAAATTGTACCTATATAATAAATTCCAAATTAATCATATCACAATATCCATTAGGTACTTATAACGCGTTATACATCAACAACAAACCCTGATACTATCACAGATAGAAATATAATAGTACACTTTAGAAGTTTCAAGTACCCACGGGCCACGAATAATATTATACAATCACAACAAAATAACTAAAATAGTTATCCTAGGTTTTTTAATATGAACTTAAAATGACTATAAAAAAAACTGTGATTGTGTATTTTTTAGATTTTTTGGTAACAGTATTAACTACTTACATGGAATCTTGTTTTAAATTTTCAATCCTTGGATATAAAAGTTGAACATTTTATAAATTTTCAGTTTTTGAACTTTAAATTCTTATAAAAGAAAAACTGTGATTAAGGATTTTTAATATTTTTCATCTGCCTTTGAAATAATATACTAGGAGCCTTCTACAATAAGTTAAAATTGGATCACTGTAGTCTGTAATGGATAGTGTTAAATTTGAATTCAATGATTCAATATCATTGTATAAGAAAACCGATTCTGAACGAAGACAGTCAGTCAGGCTTTAATATTACTAAGTATATTTGATGATATTTTTGTGAATAAAGTAGTTAATTTACCCATTTACGTGGATCTTTGTTTTAAATTGTCAATTTTCAGCTATAAAAGTTGAACATTTTACAAATTTTTAACTACAAAATAATTTTAAAATTCAAAATTAGACACATTTTGTCAAAACTCGAACATTTTAATGCTTATAAAAAATTGTTCATACGTATTTTAATAATTTTTCAATTGGTAAAGTAAAAATATAGCTGGACCCTTGTATTAAATGTTGACGCTTTTTGACCAAAAAAATTACATTTTATTGACAGTTAAAGAATAAAAAACTAAAAAAATTTTATGTCCGTAAACACCGCTAAACCGGTCAAAATATTTTGTACATTTCATCAAGTATGGGAATTGATAAGTTGTTAATGGTGTAAAATTCAAATATCTACAGTTATTCATGTTTGAATTACAACAAAATAAGAAAATCGCAACATTCCTACATGAGAAATCGAGAGATAATCCAATGATGTAAAAATTTAATTTGACTTTCCGGTAAATATTTAAAAAAAAAAATTTTTTTTAAGGTATTTTCTAATGCTATATTTATAAATGAAATTTTTATGTATTTTAACTCAAAAGAATTTACACATTTTCGTTATACTTACGTATTTTGTCAAAATTTGAACTTTAAATGCTTATTAGAAAAAAATGTGAATGTTAGAAATTTAAATTTTAACCTTCTGAATGAACCAACTATATTCACTTTCCCATCGATCGAGATAAGTACTGTTGAAAAAAGTCAAGGCAGTTGTACTGTCCCAAATACGGTGATGACAGAAAGAAAAAAAATTTAAAAATGTATAAAAAACACATCATCCACAAATCACTCCGCTCAGAATAAGAAAAAATATTTTTACAAATTTCTATTTTAGAATTTTGAATAAAAATGTATTTTATTAATTGCTTAGAGTGACTTAGACGACAGAGGTTGCCCGAGCACAGCACCCATAGCCCCCGCCCTGAATCCACGCCAGCAATAAACCGTGATGTCATTCCAAAAAAAAAAAAACACACATCATTGTAAAATCATTACATTCATCGTTTACTCAGAATCTAAAATGTTTTACTCATGATGAACATAACCACAAATCATAAAATAAAAATCTAAATGACCTTGGATTTGAAATTCTACTAGATCAAGGTATGGATATTTTCATTGTTAACGAGAATAGTATAATACTTAAATAGGTAAGTACTTACTACCGTAACTTATTATAATGACCTGCTAATGTTTTGGTGTTATTTTATGTGGATTCATCAAGTATATCAAGATTCAAGACCTATCTATATACCCTTTTCTTGTGTACTTTATAAATGTGTTTTAAAAAATATTAGAAAATAAAGTAAAATTTATGTAAATGGTCCCATTCATCAGAGTATTCATCCGAACATTAATATTTTAATATTAAAATGGTGTTTTTATATGAATAAATTTATTTGATTTAATTAATATTACTTAAGTGTGATTAGGTAGATAATGCACTAATAATAATACTTATAATAATATTTATTATCTATATTTATTATTATTATAAGTATTTTTATTAGTAAGTTTTTGCACAATGCATTTATACCTATTTTATTTTGTTATAAACAATTTTAGTATCATATAACTTGCATAGTTTTCATAATTTGAAACAAACTACATATATATGTATATATATTTACTCTAATAAACTTTTTTTTTTAAAGCCCAGCGACTATGGTCATTAGCTTGATTGTAGGGTTTATGATTGTAGGTAGTAGGGTTTGAGATTGTGTGTTGTGTTTGGCAGAATTTCTATTGGGGCACCCGTAGGTTTCTGCCATGCCCCGGAGTGGGGGATGGCGGCACTTGTTCTCCGGACACCGTGACTTGCCCGGAGAAAAATGCCGCCCAGTGGTCGAGAGAATCGAACCCGCGACCGCCAGCGCCGCAGACGACGTGTTCGACCGCTCGGCCACCTCGTTCCCCACTCTAATAAAATATCTACTATAGGTAGCTGTTATTATTTTTTTTTAATTTTTACCTACTAATTTGTATTATTGGGGGATTGGAAATTCTGTCCTAAGTGAACAGGTAAAAATAAGGGAAATGGTAAACTCCTACAAATGTAGGTTATCTCCTACATATACATAGTGTCAAATCCTAAAAATGGTAAATCACGCCTGGAAAATAACGAGTAAAAAAAACTACATGTAAATACTAAATTCCACCCGGAAAAAATAAGTATTTAGTTAAAATAATGAAATATCTATGGATGATTATGTAGTAAACGTGGCTTATTATTTTGAGGATTTTGACAAAAAAAAAATAATATAGAAATGATTTGATTTCATTGATCTTTGTTTTATACTATAGATGATTATATTTATTATATTTTTTATTTCTTTGTTATTATAAACATTACTATTTTTAAGATTTTTATTAATAATATATGACTTATAATTATATAGGAACTAGCTGTCCCACCCGGCATGGCCGGACAAAAGTTACTTCAGGTGAAGTACATTGGCAATATTATTAATTATGAGTATAAGTTCAAGGACTCAGAAACGCATTAATTGTAAATATATTATAGCTAATCCCGTTCACTTCGTTGCTGGTTAAAATATGTACCAACTCCATATCTATGATTCAAACTTTGTTCAATTCGTTTGTTTAATATTCTGTGTATGATGTTCAAAACTTAAAAATGCTCATCTATCATCTTGAATATATATTTACACGAGAGACACGATTGTATGTTTTGTATGCGTGAGACACTTAGTATGTTTTAAGGTAGGCAATCCACCTGCGGTGGATTTCAGACCCCTCGAAGTGCGTACGTAATGTTTTATTAAAAGTTAACTCGTTGATATTACGATGTGCATGTGTCGAAAAATTAATCGTGGGAATAACTTTTTTACTAAGCTATCTTCTATCTGCTACAGGTTCAAAATTATTTTCATTATTTAATCATGACCAATAGGCAATAGGAACCTTACAATAAACAAAAATATATAATTATTTAGTTTTTTTTTTTACTGAACAGATGGCACCTACATCCACATTTCCTACGTTTCGGGGGATTTTCTTAAAATGATCTTACTTCACAGTTAAGAACCTTCTCCTGACAATTACGAATACAACAAAAAAAGAATTAGCGACATCGGTCCAGCCGTCCACGCGTGATGCCGCGTCCAAATGATTATACATATAATTAATTTATATTGTATACATACAAGATAGATACATATAGTATAATATAGATTGTTGAATTTTACTTCTCGGAACAATTATTCATATCTACTCGACGATAAAACACCCACAAAAAAAAAAGGTCAGGTGACAGGTAGCTGGAAACCCGCAGGCCACCGTGCTGCACAATATGTATAATAATATATATTATATAGGTAAATACACAATTTACACGTTTATTTTAGTTAATAATAACTAATTATTTAGTAACTTTATCGGACTAAATTTAT